ACCATCCACCCAGAAGTGTGCTAAACCTGTTCTTGGCATGTTTCCATGAAATGGGGGTGGGGGAGAATGGTGGAGGCCCCTGTGTCCCACCTTCAAAACTGAGAGGCCAGTGTGACTTGTCTAACCACAAGCATGACTTTTCTTCATGCAGAATGGGGTTCTTTGGCAAACAATGGTGAACTGTTCATTTTTAATTTTAGGCACTGAAGCTATGCAAACCTAGCCATGAATCTCTTGAGTGTGACATCCTTCTTGTGAAGCTGTCCCACCTTTTCTTTTCCTTTTTGTGTTTTTGTAGAAATACATCTCTTCGCAGCTCAGCGAGTCTGCCTGGATTGGCCTAACAGATGAAAACGAGGAAGGCCACTGGGAGTGGTCGGATGGTTCCAGATTAACAATACAGTAAGTCTGCAAAGATGTACTCCAGGAGATGATAATTTGAAAAATCTACTCCTAAAGCTTTACTTGAAACTCTTACCTTTTCAGAAACTGTTGTCAAAACTGTAGGCCTGAGACAGGTCAAATTGCCATGGGTCCTGCAGAGCATGTTTAACACTAAACATAGAGTTCGTGCATGCTTCCTGCTTTCATGTGATGTACTGTACCCAGACAAATCAACAGTATTATGGCTTCATACAATGGTCTGCTTTCACACAACCTGCTAAGAAAAAGGTCTAGGTTTCCCAATACACAGAAGCACTAATGGCCCAACCTTGCCTAATGTTGTGTGAACTCAGTTCATTTGTGCCATTCTTGGTCCAACACAGGCCATGCTTCAGAATGGTGCATAGGTTTGGCATCTGCTTTCTGTATCTTATGGCTGTCCCGTGCCATTGGTCCTCTACTGCCTTGCATGTGAGTCCTCCAAATTGTGGCTAAAGAAGCACACGTTGGCTTGAACTTGCACCTCCAGGGATCCTGCGAACCTTCCTTGACTTTTCTTTCCCTGGAAAATTGAGTGACAGAGGCAGAAGTGGGGAGAAGAATGGGGAACTGCCCCAGACGTCCTCCTTTCCTCCTTCTATCCACCTCCACTCCAAGCTGTCTTTCCTTTAGACAACTTTGTGCTCCTTTAGCTGTGTGTAGAAATCCAGTCCTCCCTCTCTGTCTTCTCAGATACTGGGCTGATGGCAATCCAGATGGATCCACCAATGATGGAGAAGGGGACAAAGACTGCACTTTCATAGAATCTTCAGCCAGTGAATTCAACTGGAATGATGCCAGTTGCCAAGAACTTAGAAGATGGGTTTGTAAGGAAAATTTAGAGTTTGAAGAAAGATAAAGTTCATCAATCTCATTACCTGGAACAGTGTTAAAGTTGATGAAAAATGAGAAGGAGGAGGAGGACTTTTCAGAACCAAACCTTATCGGAATTCTATAGCAGTCACAGAATAAACAGACACATCCAACTATAAGCGTCTGCAGTATGATACGTATAGAGGCAATCCACAGGTCCACACTATTAGGATTTTCTCATGGGAAAGGATTCATCTCATTATCTGCAAAACAATATTCTTATTGTTATGGCTATGCAAAGCATGTTAATTGTGTTTTAGTTTGCAAGTATACTGCTATTTACTGCCACCAGTGGCGTGTGTATGCTAGTTACCCAGTGGGGGGGGGGTATGGATTGGCAATATAATGGGAGGATTATATGCCCAGACTCTCAGTATAGTTTTAGCCACCATGTAGTCGTTTTTATAGGTTATGTAGTTGTAACTAATAACCAAGTAGTGTACCTCTTCTCTGAGAGTTTTTAGCTAGAGACTTTGTTAAGTTTGTGTTGTTAATAAGTCTTGGATGCGAAAATACATGAGAAGATGTGTTTTTTCCTATATTTTGTATGATATTTGTATTTTATGGAGTTTTGCATTTTTATCAATAAACACTGGTTAGTATATATTTTTCTGACTGGATTTCTTTGGGGAACAAGAAATGGACATTGCATTTTGTAAATCTTTCATGCTGATGTGTATTTTTCCTGTTCAACTTTTCCTGGAAGTATTGCTGCACTCTGCACAATAGGAGTATTGCTGCACTCTGCTCAACAGGTTATGAGCCCAGGCGTGAGGTCCCAGGAGTGCTGTTCCAGGACTGAGTCCCGGACGGAGGCCAGAAGTGCTGGAAGCCAGGACTGAAATTCCTGAGTGAAGGGAGATTTATGGATTTATTACCCTGCTTGTGAGTGTCTGGTACAAAGTTTTTGTTTGAGGTTTGGATTCTTTCTCTGTGTCTGAGTGCCTGTTATAAAAGTGAAACATGGCGATGGCAGCAGTAAGCCTTCCGTTTGAAAGATTGAATTCAAAGAACTACCAGACATGGAATATAAAGATGAAATCATTTTTCATGAAAGAGGGGCTCTGGCGTTTTGTATGTCAGGTTCGGTCAGCACGAAGCTTCAGGGAAGCACGGGGTTGCAGGGAAGCTCGCAA